AGTATTGTAAAACGTATAAAAAAAATTTTTTTATCAATTGGATCGTCTGTGTAACATGGACGGTCCTACCTCGACATTCATTCACGTAATAATGGCGGGAGTAAGAATTTCTAGAGTTTTGAGAAGAAATTTTCACTGTCGATCCTTGCAAAATAGTAGCACAAATTATGAAATTCGGTTAGCAATTTTCCTTGTACGTACGTATAGCAAAAAAGTAATCACACCGCATGAAGGAAATTATGTCGCATAAAAAATTATAGTTGTTAGATAAAACCTTTTTTGGTTGATGACGAAAGTCGAAACCTAAGCTTTAAATGACGAAAACCTTTGTCGAAAGTTGAAACCTTAAATTCTTCTGACGAAGTCGAAACCTTCAAATCCTTTTGACAAAAGTTAAACCCAAACTTAAAGTGACGAAACCCAGTGCTCCCGCTAAAATAAAAGCGAAGATTACTAAAAAAAAATCCATGTTATTAATGAAACTCTGGTCCTTCCGCTAAAAAATTGATGAAAATATATGTTTTCGGCAAAGCTAAGCTATTAATATAAATAAACCCTACAAATTTACATACAACCAAAAAACAATGTTTTATTATTAAGCTTTTTATTTATATTTAATGCTGAAGGTGTTATTGGCTTGACATGGCTTGTATATTTAATTTTTTAAAAGCCAATTACAGAAATTAAAAACGTTTTATTCTCAGTAAAAATTACAAGGGGCAATTTTTGTGGTTGTGCTGCCTAAGTCCCAAAGCTCTAACACAGCACATTATCATGTGCTAGTTTATTATATAATTTTGATACAGTATAATATTTTGAAATTATTAAATTAGTAATTATTAAATTATGTAATTCTATCTAACAATCACTTATTATCTACAGGCCCGTATACACATTTCCCCTTCTTAAAATTCCAAGCTTCATAAAACCAGTTTTTATAGGTATTATTCCAGATTGGTTCTTTATCCCAGCAACGCGGAACAATTTCTCTCTTTGTAGTCAGGTCTTCGGTCGTTGAATTCCAAATGACTCTGACCATAGGTAATCCCTCTTCATATTCGGAGTACATATCCTTCATGACTTTCATCTTCTCAATGTCCTTTACGTGATGTATCAAGATGATTTCACCAACGGAGCGGAGGTCCAAATTCTCGTCAAAGTCATGGAAGGGATTTTGGCGAAGTGGCACCCAATTTGAATAGCCAACATAGTGAACAAAGTACTTCATCTCTTTAGCCACATGACATATCCACTCACCCACTAGCCAGTCCTCATGGCCTATGACATTTGAACTAGCCCAGTCTGATCCAACAATGTCTATAACGAGGTCGTGGGAAAGAGTGTATCCTCCGCCTTATTTCGAATATAAGGAAAGTAGATCAAAAAAAAAAGTGCATAAAGCGTTGATAAAAAATGAAATAAAAACATACCTGCCATATATGTATATGTTCCAAGATGGTCTCTTACGGCATTGCCATAATACACGCGTTCTCTCGGTATGTCTTGAAGATCACGGTAGTAATGAATAAGGTGGAAGAAAGCGTCATCGTCCAATTTAACCATATAGTTATCCTTCCTCTAAGCGTATTCAAAATAATGAATGCTTATTGACGTACGTAGCCTCATTAACAAGACAAGAGTACTTACATTTTTAGCAAACCATTTGAAATATTCAAATGTCTTTCCTTCGTTCATGTTCTCTGTGATATTCAAAATAACAATATCTCCGTACATTTTAGACTCTTCTTCCATCTTATCTTTATATTCGTCCCTTGGCAGTCCAGAGATGAACCTAATCGACACAGGCGATTTCTTGACTCTAAGATACCGCGCCAGAACGTCGTTGTTATGTGTGTACATCTTGCGCAACAAGTCCCTAATCTCTATCTTTTCATCCACAGTCATAATCCCGATGAAAATTGTTAAATTCTGATCCACACCCGGAGGGCCTGGAGGAGGTTTGGTATAGGTATCATATTTTATATGCGATAGTGGGACTGTCGATTCTAAGGAGAGAAGGTGAGTTGAAAGGTGGTAAAATACGTAAAGGCTGAGAATAAAGATGAAGATATAGATGTAGTATTTATGGACTGTGGATTTGGACATTTTAAAATCTGAAGTCCCGAAAATAAGATATATTAAATATTTATAATGATTCTAATCAGTGTTGAGCGAAGTTATTTTCCAAATCCGAAACGTTTCACCAGAGGAATTTTAGCTTCGCCCTATAAGTCCGAAACACTACGAAACTAGTGGCATTTCAGCATTGCACGCCTAATTCTGCGTCACGTTACACTATTTGCAGTAGTGTTGGAGGTAGATTACTTATTTGGGCTTGGGAATCAGTGTTTATACTTAATCTGGATTAGAGTTGGGTAAAATCCCGAAACCCTTTCCGAAACCCCGAAACCTTTATACTATACTAAAAGGGTTAGAATTTTAATTTTAGACTTTAAGACATAAAGTACATGATAATTAGATTGCATTTCAGAAATATTTTGGTTACTTTATAGTAAATGTGCATTAGTTATTAACATTCTAATTTTAAGGTTTCGGAGAGGTTTCGGGTTTCGGTGCCCAACTCTAATCTGGATTCATTAACAAAACCCAAAACCAAGTAGTTTTTAACAAATTTGTAAATTAAACACATAAATTACTACTTTACTGAAATATGACTAAATAGCGAATTTATTGTTACTAACTAGTAAACTAAATATATATTTATTTATAAACTTTAGTAATAATTTGGTTACGATGTTGTCTATATGCGGTTACTGCGCATTAGGATGCGGGACGTGCCGGCTCAGGCTTCCCGATAAGGGCCGATAATACCCGATGAACTTATAGTCAAAAACATTGGCTCTTGTAACATATTAAAGCAAAAGAGTATAGACGGGAAATTATTACGCCATGTCAGGGACCCGTAAAATTTTAGTTTTAAAAATAAGTAGCTGCGCGACATTGACCAGGAACGAATGACAACTCTGGTTATATATAGTTTTGAATTCAGATAAATAAATATCGGGTATAAAACTAAATACCACATAACTATATTGATATGAGACACTATAATTTAAACAAACAAAAATTTCTTAAGACGTTTAGATGTATGTTGTTGGTGTAAAATAACTCTTAAAAAAAACATATTATAACAATCCACTACAATTTTCCAATGCTAACCTTAATAATACATAACGCCGGAACAGATATTAAAAATAGGGTATTTCACACCCTATACCGTACGGATCTGTTCATAATAATCTGCATAATTTAGAAATGATCTTGGCAGATGATAATTATATAGACCAACACAAGTTGAACCAATGAATATCGGAGACAGTAGTCTGCCAAAGATCAATATTGGGATACCGTATCCTGCCGTGAATAAGCACCCACCTTTTGCAATTTTCAATGCAAGTTTCTTATTATCTAGTGATCGAATTTGGTACTAATCGAATCAACTTATCAAACCGATTCGTACCAAAATTACGCACTAGATAATGAGAAACTTGGACATGAAAATTGCAAAAGGTGGGTGCTTATTCACGGCAGGATACGGTACCCAGATAACTTACTCTTAGCACTCTGAGCCTAAAAGTAAAATATCAGGATATCCCAATATTATTCAGTTATGTTGCCGATATCGATCTACCTCCCAATATGCTGCTAAAATGCTGTTAATATTCTATCGGGTACGCACATATCAGGAAACTTGTCTTCCAGTATGCATCCGATATTCATTGATTCAACCTGTGTAATGTGGATAAGAAACTAAATAAGATGTGAACTAAATACTTAGACCAATTAGTTCAATGAATAATCACTAAACTTAGACTAAGATTGCTCAATGTGATTAGATAGCTATCGAGATCATTCATAAGTATAATATTACTGTATACAATTATTAATTGAAGCGATCCTTACCGTAATTTTGCTGAAATTTGACAAAAAAAGATAGCTTCAAATTTTTTTTTTTATCGCAATAATAACCTACTTACTGGTTAAACTACTTTCCAACAATTAAAAATTGGTGCTTGAGAGAACCTTAAATCATATGAATAAAATTGAGACGAGAAATTATTTAATACATATATTGATTGATAATGTTCGATTGAATAAATAAGAAATACTTAATTGAAATATCATGTGAAAACTGACGTTATATGACAAAGAATTTTGTAGACCCATTAAAGATTTTTAAAGCTGTTAACGCTTGCCTGGCTTCTTCAAATACTATATTGTTTTAAAATCATTATTACTGTAGCAACGTAATAATATTTAATGCAAAGCTTATCGATATTATTTACCACCATGGCCAAGTCATGCTCTAGCCATAACACAAGCTGTGGCTTCAATAATTACTAGCATTCTGCCCGTGCCTCCTTCACGGGAATTTTTTAAGACATCGTTCGTTACTGTAAAAAATTCCGTTACGGAACTTGCTATTCTGATAATCAAAATATGTTTAAGTTTGTTTGCATCAGAATCCTAATTCCTGCCATGAACTAAAGTAAAACTTACTTGCTGTTCCAGTGTGAGTTAGTATTGGAATAGTCATGAGTTGCTGTAAGAAATTCTGTTCAAAACTCACTCGCCATTCCAATAATCAAAAATGTGGTTGGTTAATTTGTATTGGAGTTGTCATAACTTCTATCGAGTTTCTGTAAAATATCCTACCTGTTACAAGATTTGCTATTCTAGTTAGACATACTATGTCTCACTGGAATAACGAATTCTTTAGCAGAATATTTTAGCAACTCATGATGAAAATTTGATAAACTAACTCACTACATTTTTAATTATTGGAATGGCGGGTTTTATTTAAAAATTACGATAATTCAGATAGAAAGTTATGCCAATTCTACCTTATCTACATGCTATGTAGTTAAGGTCGAGTTAATTTCACATCGTTACTTCTACCATGTGCTACAGTAAAACTTGATATTCTAGTGACAATAATTTGTAGTTTGAGTAAGTTAGTATCGTAATTTCTGTTATGAGTTGCTATAAAAAATTCTGGTACAAAATTTACTTGCCACTCCGGTCATCATAATATGTGGAAAGTTAGTTTGCATCGAGAATTATCGTAATTTTCATCATGACTTGCAGTAAAATATCCTGTTTAAGAATTCGCTACTCCAGTGAGACATAGTATGTAATCAAGATCAATTAATTTTGTATTGGAATTACCGTAATAAATTCCATTACAGAACTTACTATTATTAGTGTATCCATATCCCAGTTAAGAATAGCAAAGACACGTAAGTTCGGATAATGCAAAAAATGCAGCCATTTACGATTAAATTTCTATTAATGCTGGAAGTTTACGCAATATTATATAATTTTGAGAAATTTCTAATTTTTAAGTCATGGCAAAAAAATGTCCAGATCACGCGATCAACGATAGCTTCTGGCCTAGTACCCTAGCCATGGCAAAAAAAGTTAATATCACGTTATTTTTCGAAGCTAGCCAATTAGATAACAAGATCAGGTATAATGTAAAAATTGCGTTCTTTTTGGTTTTTTTTGAAAAATTGTTAATCTTATAAAACCGCCTTTTGTATACTAATAAAAAAAATTCCTTGCTAAATTTTGGTATATAACATGCAATATTCTCAACCTAACCATAACGTTAATGATAAGATTTATTACTTTTTATTCTATTGGTTTGATTTTTGCTAATTGGCCAAAGTCATGTGATAGTAACTTTTTTTGCCATGGCTATGTATTTACTTCCGGCCTCTTTGATGTAGCCGATAAATAATATGTTGCACGAAAAAAAATATGCTTATTATAAAAGTTAACATACAATAGCTATTACACGGATCCTAATTTTCACCCATGACTTTTTTTTACTGATATTCTCACGGTTGATATTTTCACGGCAGACTAATATTAAACCGTAAGAATAACAGTAAAAAAGGTTATGGGTGAACAATTAGGAGCTGTGTAATAAATTAATGATATTTAATGTTAATAATGATATTAATATTGATTTAATTTTAGTGCAGCATATGATTTTACAGGACTAAGTCAAAGAGGTTAAAAACAATCGTTGATCTCGTGATATGGATATTTTTTTGCTATGACTAACCTATTTTAATTTTTATAAATTTTTTATACAAGTTTTATCACGCGAACAACACAAGCAAAGTATTCATGAAACCATAGTTCCAAAATGCAATACGTAACAGGCTTTCATAGAGCCGGTGAACCAATCCCTTATTTTTATACGACTATTACAATTTTGGAATTCGAATATGATCAAGATGACATTTTCTGATTACATTAAACCCAAAATAGAATCTCAAAAATTACAACAATCTTAATCATACCAATCATGTATCATCATACTGTACATGTTTAGATCTGAGGTTTTTACATGTCTAATCACATTTTCAAGTACGACTAATTAATAACTCAGAAAATCACATTTAATAGTTTTGTGCAAGAGCTTGTAACTTAATTTCAATTATAGCAATCACAAATGTTGCCTGTATAAGAATATTGTAATTTAATGCTACAATCAGTGTTTAAAATTCAAAATTAATTTTATATTCTCAAAAAAACATTTTTTAAAATTTTAATGTTCTCAAAAATTTTTTAGTGTTCTCAGTATTAGAAAATCAAAAAATTTTTAATATTAAAAAATTTTGCTAAATGTTCTCAAATAGAGAACATTTTCTAGTAATTCATGTTCTTAAAAATTGTTAAATGTTCTCTGATAACACTGAGAAAATCAAATTTTAAACACTGGATACAATCAATTATAATATGTTCTCTGATAACACTGAGAAAATCAAATTTTAAACACTGGATACAATCAATTATAATATTTATTTTAAGATTTTTTCTAATAATCAAATTGTAAAAATAATGTGAAGTTGAATTATCTCAAAATGATA